GTTGATTATAGCGGAATGCCGAGTATAAACGCGGCGGAGTATCTCGCTATACTTTTATTTCGAGCGCTCCCCTAAACGTCAGTTTCCTTCGCGCGCGCGCGGACGGTTCGTTTAGATAATCTCCCCCCCCGAGAGCCTCGATCGCGAAGACTATTTATGGATCATGCGAATCTCCAACACGCGCGTACATCCACACGCTTCTTTTGTATTTAAATCTCGCCGGCGCGAAAACAGGCCGGCCGTTCGAAGCGGCGCTTGATCGTCGTCGTCTATTAAACGAGTGCATTATCGTGAGCGCGAGGGATCAGCAATTTTTCCAATAATATCCGCGGGTGGAGAAATCCGAGCCGGATCGAGCGCGGCCAGATTCGATCGAGCACAATGGATCCGATTGAAGCGACAGCGATGTGATGGCGCGCGCGTTGCGCGAAATCTTAATTAAACATGAATGAGAATCTCTTGTTGCGTCCGTCGGGCCTCGCTCCTGCTTGCACGCTTGCTCGATGCGGCATTACCGGGAGCTCTCTCGCCCAGGCTCACTTTCACCTGGCGCGGCCAGGTCGGTTGCGAAATTCTCTCGCGGTTTTGTGTATCGATAGCGCGCACGCGGATTTGCTCGCGGATCCGAGCGCACGGGGATCGCGCGAGAACGTTTCATCCCCCGCCAATTTCCTTCCCCTCTTTTTTCCTCACCTCCCGAAAACGCAGCGAGCGTTCCGAAATTTATACACAAGCGTGCTAAGCAGCGATAATGAAGTCGCATCAATATTTCATCCCGGCTTGCATATTTAACGCGCGGCGAGATAGTTTCGATACAAAAGAGGACTAATTAGGGTTCATTAAGCGGTAATTGCAAGCAGCGCCTCGCGCACGGGCGGTGTAATTAATTTTAATTATGAGAGGAAAGTCCGGTGAAGTTGAAAAAATTTCTGTTCATCCCTGCTTCACACCCTCTCCGACCCTCCCTCCCGCCGCTCCTCGTCGCTGTTGATCCCTCGCCCCGATGCATCCGTCTGTTTCCGCGTTTGTCATTCCTGCGCTGATGCGAGATGTTATCCGGAAATTTCTGGAAACAGAGAGATGTAATCGACGTGGTGACAAGTAAAGAGAAATGTATCGAGATAAACCGAGATAATCGAATATACAGCGGCGAAGAGATACGGGTATAAAAGAGGGGAAGATAACGTATCGAGTACGGACTTCGTAAAATTCGTATCGCCGTGACTTCGTTGTGGATGAAATCGTAAAAATGGGATGAACACCGGCCGGGAGGACAGGAATCCGAAAGAAGGAAGAGCGAGAGAGGAAAAGAGAGAAAGAGAGAGAAAGAGAGGGAAAAAGGAGTAAGCCTAATCACGCGACGCGGCGGCGGCTGCCTTAACGACGACGTCCTCTCATTTATCAAGAATGGAAGATGTCTCGCTTCTTGCGTCTATCCGTCACTCGTTAACTGTACGATCGTTACTATCGTAAAAGTCGGCGAGATGTGGAGGGAAAGGAAAAGAGATAGATAGATAGATAAATACAGAAAGAGAGAGAGAGAGGGAATAAAGAGGAGGAAAAAGAGAAGATCGGGTTCGAGATGGAGGGACGTAGTTTCGGAAAAATAATAGCGCCGGGGTCGTCCCAAGAGTGGCGATGGTCCAAGGTATAATAATTTCGGGGAACCTTCTCTCCTACGCCCTTCCTCCCTTCCTCGCCCTTCTGCGTCCGCGCGCTGCTTCTTCTTCTTCTCTTTCTCCTGCCGCCGTCCGCGACCGAGTATACATCTTTTCTTTGTTACGTTTACGAGCCTCGTCGGATCCGGAGTAAAACCGCGCGCCACTCCCCTCCTCCGCGCCGCGGCACGCCGGTGAAATAAATCCGTGTATTCCGGAGGGTCTTAAATTCAACCGGAAATAGAATTTGTCCCGGGGCGGTCACGGGCGCCGCCGATGGCACGAGGAAAGTCCGACGAAACCGTAGAAACGAGAGGAATCGAACGAGAGTGAGAGGAAGCCGCCGTGGAGGAGAGCGAAGAGAGAGGAGGATGGTGAACGTCCACGTGGCCTTCGCGAAATCATTCCATATGTCCTCTCCGAACGGCGGGAAAATAATGTTTAGATGACAAAAGGAATCAGTTTTTGTAACAAAAAACGAAGGAAGAAATAATTATATTTCTTATTGGAACGCGTCCCAGTAAGAACTGCGGACAACTGTTAACCAGCGTTCCGACATTCCGTGGATAATCAGCATGAATTGAAGCCGAGCGGCTTACGCGACACTGGGATTTTTTTTGTCTTTGTGTAAACGACAGTCCCTTGTCCGTCGTGTTTTCGAGATACTGGCCGGGCTTTCCCTTGGATAACGAACTTCTCTCAGGATAAGCCCCGGTGAGGGAGAGAGAGAGAGAGACAAACGGGAGGGAGCGGCGTCTTAATCTCGATAGAAACGTCCGGGTAGCCTGCGGCGAAAGTTTCCGCGGGATCGGTCGTGTGTGTATGTGTGTTAAGAGCGGTCGGCGGAGGGTTTCGGCGGGTGAGACGACGCACTCGCTCGCTCGCCCGCGGGCGCGAACGCGCGACGTCACGAGAGCCGGGGGGCTTTTCACCTTGAAAGGAGGCAAGTGCACTCGAAGATATTCCCGAAAGCCGAAGAGAGGCATTGTACACAGTACACGTATCAGAGGCCGGCACTCCTGGCGCTCGCAACCACCGCCATCCGGCTCTGTGTGACGATTTGCCCGACGGGGGTGTATCGCGAAACTCCGCCGGAGACGCGGCACCGCGGCGCATCACACAGAAGCGGGCTTAAAATTTTCACGAGCCACTCGAGCCGGCTTCCTCCTCCGTCTCCCGAAATCTGCAATTTGGCGTACCTGGCTGGGTACTCGGAAAGAGGTCTGGCCCGGAAGAGGACGCGAGACGGAGACAGAGGAACAGGGAGAAAGGGGAGAAAGAGAGAATGCGAGAGAGGCCTTTGCTCGTTGAAGAAGGTGGCCAACCACCTACCGAGTGGCCGATCCGCTAGTGAAGAGAGAGAAAGAGTGAGAGAGAGGGGGGGGGGGAGACGATCCTCGTCGTGTTTACGTCTGCTTCTCGGAGGAAGGAAAAAGTAACCGGTAACGACGTGGGGCTACGCAGGTAGGCGAGGGAAAAAAATGGAAAATAGTAGCTTCTCAAAGGTACTCTAGATACCACCCACCTACCTATTTAACGGCAACCACCACCACTAGTACACTCTCCATCGCCACTTCAATCTTTCTCTCTCTTTCTCTTGAGACGAACAGGGCTGTTTTCGGCAATTCCTCTAGCGGGTCTTGTCAAAAAAAAAAAAAAGTGGAAGAGTATGCCGGATGAAAAGAAGCACTACGGATTTCTAGCCCGTTCCGAAGAGGAAGTCGCTGAAGTGGGAAGCGAGTGGGATGAGGAAGGACGATGGAGGAGGGCTCAGAGAGGTGCGTCGAGCGGGAGAAGGAGGACATCTTAAATTTTTGACGAGACCACTCGTCGGGCAATGGCAACGGTAGAAAACGAGCCGGTGGAAACGCTGCCTACTCGCCGAGCTGAGTTAAGCCTCAGCCGCAGCAACAGCGGCGTTTCACTGAAGTCTGCAATTTCGCGGATGCATCTTGGCTGACCTGGCTAGAGACGGGGGGGAAGGAGAGGAAGCGAGAGAAGGTCTTTGCCCGCTTTAGAAGAACTCCTAAAGCGCGCCTACCAGCTCTCTCTCTTTCTCTGTCGTTCATTTCGTCCCCAGCTCTCTCATTCTTTTCTCTCCGCCGTCTCCCTTCCGTCTCTCTTCTTACAACACTCTCGCTCTCCTTCCGCCGTCGCGTTTCGGCACTCTAGAATTTCGCGTTCCTACTTCGATCCGCGGCGCGTTCGCGCCTCTTCGCGCGCGCGAGACCCTCTGTCTCTCCTCTTCTGCCTTGTGCCTCTCGTTTCCCCGAAGAATGGCGAGACGTCGGACAGACCTTAGTAGAGCCTACCGGAGCGAAAGCGAAAGACGGAATTGGCCGAAAAGGGACGGTCGATGCCTCGTCCTCTCCGTTCCTCTTTCTCGCTCCCGTGTCGCGTTTCTCGTTGGCGCGACGAAGAGGGAGATCGAAGATGGAGGAGGCGAGAGGGAGACGGATAAACGCATAGTATTGATCCTGGAACCCTCTTGCCCTGCGTCCCGCCTTATCCTACCCGGGCACCCTTCCCACTATCGTGATGAACCCCAAAGTTTTGTTCGGGGCTTTCCCGCCACCCTCCCCTACCCCACGTCCATTCCTTTTACTATTTCTTTTATTCCCTGGCCGTTCGCGCCCTCTCGTCACCGACACTATTTTCCTTTCCGTACACGGTAATTGGCCGTTCGAGAATAACGAATTCCAACCGGCACCCCGGAATCCTTTGCCCAGGGTGACGCGAGTCGACCTTGAACTCGAGATATGCCGTCCGCGCGCTTTACTTTCCTCCTTTCACATGTGACACGTTCTTCTCGCGAAGCCGGATACCGGAGACTAGTATTTTTGAAGGAACAATACCTCCCCCGATTTCCTTCCCGCGTTTATTCTCAGTTCTTAATTTAGGTTTCGTTTTTCAACGTCATTTCTAGACTCGCGAACCATCGTCGGATTACGACGCGAATTACAACCATCTGTTCGCGGTATCAAAACAAGCTTGACGGTCAATGAGAATTTATTTAATAACACGCCTCGTTAATTTATTTAAGAAAGCGTAAAAGAGTAGTTTACGTAGCGTCACATAGTCCAAGCAACGTCTTTTCCAACGAGGCGGAACCATGAAGATACCGTGTCTTTCAGAGGTGCCATTAGAAGAGCAGAGAAAATAAACGAACGCGCTCTCTGCATTCCCATTCACGCGAGCGATAGAAACGACGTTGCTTGGCTCCGCGTTGCTTGTGCAACGTAACGATCCCGAGGGCGAAGGGAAAATACGTGAATCACGACCAGAGCGGGACAAGAGTTTTCCAGATTTTAATTAACGCAATCGATATCACGTTTCTTTCAGACTCGGCGGCCGGTGAGGTCGGAAGTGGAGAGTGCGAAGGAGGAAGAGGAGATTCGCCAACAGCGGATGTGTGCGTCGCCATGTGAGAACCGGGGTGCCTCCTCGTCATTAACGGAAACCGCGCATCCCACGTGACGCGAAGTAGATGCGACACCGACCGTCAGTCGTTCGCTCGTATTCGTCACACACGAATCCGCGAGCCCGCGGTTGCTCGGCCGGGCTCAGCAGTGAGTCGAAAAATATCATCGAGAGACATCGACCCCGCGAGTGCGCGCGCTCGTTGGCCCGCGCGCACGGATCGCTCGAGGAAATCTAGCCGGGGCGATAAGCTGGAGCATAAGCGGGAACCCGGGAAAGCGGTGGCCGGTGAAGAAGGCGGAGGAGGGTGGAGGAATTCGGCAGTGGCGACGGTGGTGATCGCACGTCGTCGCCGTCGCCGTCGTCGTCGGGCCGTGACGCGCGAGACGACGCGAAACGAAGCGTAGAGGAGGCATGAGGAGGCGAGAGTGACGACGCTGCTGCATCCTCGCACAGATCGTGAGAGGACCGGCGATACGCTGGGGCCCGCGATAAGGATGGCCCCCTTCAATATGGCCGGCGTGGCGGGCCTTCTAGCCACCTGCGCCGCCGTTGCTGCTTCCGCTGCTCACCTTCTGCCGTTGCTGTTGCTGCTAATCTGCCCGCGAGGGACCCAGGCGGAACAAGGTAAGCGTTCGTCGTTCGGTTCTTACCAACCTTTCTTACCTACCAACCTACCTACCTACCTACCTACCTACGTAGGCCTAATCAAGCCCCAGATGATAGTCCACGGCGACACCTCGGGTCGCGATGCATCGTGCCGATTGCCGCTCTCGAATATATACTTAGCCAGATGCATCGGTCAGGCGGGATCGAAGAAGCTGGTTACCGCCGCGTGATCGTGACCGATCCGCGTATTGTCTCGTGAAAAGGAAGGGGGAGGGCTTCCTCCTTTCGTTCGATGTTATTTATCCGAGTCAACATTTTGCTTCTACGTTAATTCTACGAATTTCGTCAAACTTGGAGGAGATCTCTGCCCTAATAAGATGCGATGAATGGTTATTTAATGCCATTTTTTGTATGTAGAATTGTCGTTAAAAATATGCAGTTATTTCTGAAATACTTAATACTCAATTATCTCAATATTCCACCTTATGTTGAATTGTCATGAAAAATGTGGAGTTACTTTTGAATTATTTAATTATTAATTATTTCAATGTTCCATTAGTAATTAACCTTCATTATTGATTTCAATGAGCAATGTATTGTGTAATTTAATCACGGTTAAAACATGCGCGATAAGCTAATATTAAATAACTTGATAAAGATTAATAGGTAAATTATTATATAATTAACGAATACGCGAAACAACAAATGTTGTTTCTTCACAAACTTATTTTTATTATTTATTCTTTTCATCCGCGTAGAGAATGTATATAAGTGAAATATGCGTTTATAGGTCGGAAAATGTATTTCACTCCCGACGTAATGCATCCTCCGTCCTGGCAGCAGCCCCGTCATGGCGTTCCGGATGACAACTCGTGGCACTGACACTCGCATAGACGCGACTTGAAACGCATGTTAATTTTTTGCCGACGCTAGAGCGTGATTAAATGTTTCAAAAAGCCGGTGAAATATTTTGTGTAAATGCAACACTCCCGGTACCGGGAAAAAGTACCACGCGTCGCGCGACATACCGAAACAATGGAAACAAAAAAGGCCGCGTCATCCTGCGCCGATCATCAACCGTCCCATCATCGAACGCTAAGTGATCACAACAGTGAAAACATTCCGGGCCTTCGAGGTGGGTAAATATACTTTTGTGCGCCGTGCACTTTTCTGAGTAATTATTTCGTGCTGGCGAGCGATACGCGTATCACAGACTCATATTTTGAACTCTCCTTTATCGATAAAAGTGCTTCGAAAAGTAACTCAGGAACCATCATTGACCGAGAAGCCACATTTAAGGCACTTTTTTTGATAAAAGAGAGTTCAGTGCCTACGTGTTTCGTTATTTATCATCCCTTGCGAGTGATAAAAATATTTCGTCGAACTTGGAAGTACGTAATCAGACTCTCGTCAGGTGTTATTTAACACGTATTTTCGGTCGAATCCATGCGAGTGTCAGTACCAAGACGGAGTAGCCAGGACGAGGATTGGGGGGGAGGAGTGGATGCAGGACGCCGCGCAGTGATACATCATATATTTCCAAGGTGTGTCAAATCGTTTATTATAGGAGGTTCCTTTTGACTCGACAGAGTATCGCTCATCGGAATCAGGGATAACAAAAATTCTCTCATCGGCGCGTTCCCGCCTCAAGGGGACACGATTTCGAGATATCTCGCCGTGATCCTCTTGCGCAATCGCGCGAGGAAATTTCCTTTGCGCGTAATTCATGCGTAAGGTGATTTCGTAAGAGAACACGACGACAGGATACCACTCGATACCACACGCCGTGACACCGACTCCTTTGTCCGCAGGATCCGAAAAATCGCCACGACTCTTCTTCCCCGCGACTAACGGGGAGGTGAGCGTAAGTAAGGGACACGTTAGCTCGCATCAAGCCGACGTTTCCTGACGCGCTCCGCTCGTAATTTCGCGGCGCGGCACGGCGGCCCGCGTGATTTATTGCGCGGAGACGCTGAATGCGAAAGGAAGAGACGAGCGGACGGGGGGCGAGGGGAGGAAGGAGAGAACGAGAAAGAGAGAGAACGACCAAATTGCCACGACGCTAATTGCGTACGCGTCGCTGTACTTACCCACACACGCGAGCGAGCATCCTAGTCCGATCACGTGGCGACTACGAGTTCCTCATCTACTTTAACTCGCATTAGGCCGTTATTTTATATAAACCTGACCGCTCTTTTCTTCCTCGCGAAACAAAGGCGGGCTCGCGCCTGCGTGGTCCCTTTATGATGTTTCGACGATTCCACCGGCAGATCGTGTCTCATCGTAGCCTCGATACGTCGACAGCTGTCGCGAAATTAGCGGGATATCCCACATAGCCACTACTTTCCCATTCTTTTCTCTCTTTTTTCCCATTTTTTGTCTTATGACGCTTGAAATATCCTGGACGGGTTGCACGATACGTGATGCTGCGAGTCGGAGGGAGGTGTATTGACGGGAAGGAATTTCAGGTCCCCTTACACTCTCTGACTAAGCGCTTTGTCTCCGTCCGCTCTTAATCGCGAAATAATTCCTCGTCGCGTTGAGACTCTACGGCAACGGCACGTTTAATTTTCCTTTTCCTTCCCGCCTCTCGTCCCTTTTTTCATATCTCTCTCTCTCTCTTCCCTCTTTTTGCGAACACCGCCGAGTCAGTGTCCCGAGGCGGTGTACGTTGTTTGCTCGGATAAAGGATTCTTCTGTGTGCACTGCCCTCGTCTCGATCGTTGCTGAACGTGATTTAACGGAGCCCAAGATTGGCCTTCCAGTCCCATTATGCGTTTCTGAAGATCATCCACGGGGGCTACCCGGAACGTTTTCCATATTTTAACCGAAAAAAAGGCCTGGCGCCCGAGGGGTCTCGATGGCTCGCTCGCTTACTCGCTCGCGCCCTCTTCTCCCCCCGCAGCAACCACCCGTTCCCCCACCTACTTCGTAGGGGAATAACGATAATTTCGTAATGCGGGCCAATCTTCCGAATTGCCAGATCGTCCAAGGTGCCGGTAGTTAGCGCTCGGGGATTAAAAGGGGATCGTTTCGTCGCGCTTTCGGAGACGGTCGGCGGCGACGGCGGCTGCTTGAGACGCGGAGACGCCACAAATTCGCCCGGACGAGCTCGTCTCCCTTTATTTCGCACGATGCGATTTTTCGCCGCTCGTGCGGAAAATAGGTCGCGCATGGGCGGATACGATCCTTAAATCTCAAGCGTGGGGGTATCTATTTTTAACAATAATAATTTTTCACTTTTAATAATAACAATTCAATCTTTTAATAAGGGAATGAAACGGTGGAATTTCTCGTGACTATGCGCGTACAATCCTTATTATTCTTTGTTACCGTTATAATCTTTTTACTCTTTTTTTCAGCTAATTATTCATCGCAAACTTTCAGTAGAATCTGGAAGAGAGAGAGAATTTTTATGATTGCATAATCACTTCTTTTTACACATAGAATTACTCGTTTTCGCGTGCAACCTAAATTCCGCCGGTCTCTCGACGTTTCTTTCCGTTTGAGGAAAAGTCGGTTTCGACGTAATCCGAGAATCTTTCGGCGAAGAGGATCCGCGAGTCCGATGCGTTCGGTGCACCTCGTACGTTTCTCCGGACAATAATTAAGGTTAACACGCGTGCCCCTTAATTTCGACGAAACTCGGCCGACTCGGTTTCGAGATCTCCGGGCGCATCCCGCGATCGCGGCCACCGCGGACTACCCGCGGTAAGTTTCTCCGACGCGGCGGCCCCTCGGGAGTTCTTCCCTCCCCGGTACGTAACGCGTTTAATGGAACTTGCCAAGGATCCGTTCCCAGTGGACCGTGTCTGCCGATGGAGGCGGCTAACTTCGTTTCCCTCGACTCGCACGAAACGCGAGCTCCTCGTTATCCTTGCCCTCGCGATATCTTTGCGAGAACTCCCCTCCCCCGCAACCCGCTGTTGCCGCCGCCGCTGCCAACATCCGCGAACTTTATCCTTCGATCGCACTCGTGATCCCGTGAAGACGCGCGTCCATTACGTTAGTTCTTCGAACTTTCAAATTTACAGGTTACGAGCGCAGCTTCCAGCTGCTGGTGGGGGAACGGGGTGCGTGAATTATTGGGACTGAAAATTCATCGCGGCCGCGAAATCGAATTTCTACCATTTTTCTCGCTCTACCGGTCTCTCTTCCATATAGTAATTGGCCCATAGTTTTGCAGGAAGGATCCAATTCACATGTAATACGTTTTGAGAAAAATGAAGATGAAAATTTGATACAGGATTTAAAAAGTATAAATAACACTGAGGTCCTTCACAATCGTTCAAGAAGTCAAGCACGGTCCATTTTCTTCTTTCCAAGAATATTCATTAATAAGCTTGATCCTGAAAAAAAATGAGTGAAAAAGATTAATAAGAAATGCAACTAGTAGAAAATAAGAACTGTTTCTTAATTAATTTTATGCATGCATAAGGCTTGAATCTTTTTGTTTTATATAGAAAGACGTATAGACTACATATTGATAACGAAATCGAAAAAAATCACAATTTTGTCAGTTGGATACTTTTTGCCTGACTATGGCCAATCATGACATAAGAAAGTAGTTAAGAAATGTCAGTTTTTACATCGACATAGACAATGCAAAGTAGCAGGAAAAGGCTCAGTCTCTCGTGGAAAGATATTATAGGTGACCTCGCGCGCGCGCGCGCGAAGAAAGAACCGGCGATCTACATAGTTCTCAGCCTCGTTCTCCTGTTCCCTCGATCTAGGACGAGTTCGTGCAAAGGTTTTCGGACGAACCGAGTTCCGCGCGATACAACGATCGGAACTCAATTACTTTCCCGGAGTAAGATTCACGACCAGGCCGCCGGTATCCTTCGCTGCTGCTACACTCGCCGTCCACTCGCTGCGAACTCATTTACCGTAGGAGCAGCGAGTCTCCATCGTTCTGCTCTTCCGAGCTACGCCAGGGGAAAGAGAGAGAGAGAGAGAGAGAGAGAGCCAGCCCGCGAACCCCACCCAAGACTCGAAACTTCCTTTCATTTGATTCCGTT